CCCGCCCCTCTCGGGATTCGATAAGGCGATAAAGAGGGTATCAGCACCACAGCCAGCAGTACATACACTATTACTCAGGCTAGTTCAAAGTGTCTTTACTTTCCACAGTTTTACTAATTTGTGCAAACAAAAAAGATGTAGATTAAGTAGTTGGCTGAGGATCAGTAGCTAAAAAAAAAATTTAAAAATGTGTACCGATGTCGCAATTCATACTCGGCGTATTCACACCACACCGATGCAAGATCGTCCACTTTGGTGTATTCGGGTTGCAGGCCTTTTTCAAAAATTAGCCGAGCCTGAAAGTGGCTCACTTTTCAAACGTAGCTCTTTGCTTTTTTTTGAGACTAAACAAGCAAAGGCTAAAAAGTTAATACCAAGCATAGAAACCAGCAAATTCCTTCAACAAACACACAAGACAGCTATGTTCATTCCTTCCCTCTAGAACTATACTTCCGTATAGAATGTAATTCAGATAAAAGTTTCCTTAAACTTTTATTACTCTTGGTGCATCAAGCATTACTCGTTCTGGAATAACTGCAGCATCTGTCAGTTTTTCTTGCTTTCGGTTTCCATCTTCTTTCACTTCCTCTTTCTTCCTTTTTTCTTCCTCCTTTTTTCTTTCTTCTCTTTATGCACTGCGACCGTCATACTGACGAGATCCAGTCGCTGAGTTGAGTGAAGACCTATATGACTTAATGGACCGGAACGTCTTATCTCGCCCCCCCCCCACCTTCTCTAATCTACACTAGTACTTTCTCTTTAACTACTTAACTCTCTGCCATCTGCACTTCCAAGGTCAATCTGGATGCTGCAATCTGCTTAGAAGGGCAAAGAAAAACAAACAAATGTAAAAGTTGAGCCTAAATTAGCATAACTGGCACAAGAAGCATAATCAGCACATCACTTACATCGTCCAGCTGTTTTTCGTTTTCGTAAAATTTCGCAAAACTTATCCATATATTTGATAGTTTTCCAGTCTGTAATTTTGGTTGCACCGTCCGCACCGCCTCCTCATATGTTTCAATTTGCTGCAAAATATATCACACGTAGTAGTAGTAAGCACCAGGTAAAAAAGACTCAGAAAAAGAGGCAATTTTCGCAAGACATTTTTGAGGATATACTTAAATATACTTATTTTCCAAACACAGAGTGAATAACAAAAAAAAACACACGCATATTTGAGAGTATCTAGAAGGAAAAAAATTTTTATCTTTTCGATTTTCCTCACATTTTCCTTATCAAAAGAGGGCATTTGACTTTATGTGTCGTAAATTGGCTAAAAGAAACCACTCGTCGGTGAAACTGTCGATGGCTCCCACGCCAATATCAATTTATTGCCAAAAAAACCAAAAAAATTGCATATTTTCGCAACCCTAAATTAATCAAATTCTCTGCCTTTAAGTTTATACCCAACTCCCTATCATCTACAGTTAGGCAGAAGCCAAAAGTTTTGCCAGTCTCGAATTATAATTCGAAAACAATTCCTGTAAATTCCTCGTCCTTACCTTCTGTTTATTGCCATCATATAATTGCACACGATTGAGCCATTCGTATGCATTATGTGGATTTTGTCGCAGTAAAACACTGTTCAGAAGCAACGGTCGACGGTGCATTAAATGCTCGGCACTGAAACAAACAGATGCGGAAATTCACAAACATTCCACAAGAACAAAACCTCCACAACAGTGCAGTACAGACATTTCTTTCTTGCCATTATCACAGTTGGACTTCGTTGTACTGACAAGATCCAATTGTGGTAATGGCAAGAAATGTATACGACTTTTAATGGACCGAAACATTTCTTACCATTAAAATGATTTTACTAATTTTCAAATTTTGTAATTCTCATCTCTTGTCTTCCTTTCTGTTCCTCGCTTTCATCCGTCTTTAATATACCTGCCTATTAATATACCCTCTAAGTACATGAATTAAAAAGGCCCTATTCCTCGAAAAGGTCTTCGTTTGCGATAAAAGCCCTGGTCGATCACATGGCTAGCAAGCGCAGTATACCAACGAGTTATGCCTGTTCATAGAACTAATTAAGTAAGTAAAAAAACTATAAAATAAAAGGTATTAAATTTTGTGATTCGCTGTAATCCCCCATACTACAAATTTATAAAAATTTACAAATCTGCTAACCGTGCAAAAAGTAACTCCAACTCAAGCTTCTTTTCTTCATCGCCAGGAAAATTTTCAAGTTCGTCCATTTTCGAACGTGTTTCTCTTTCAGCAAAATTTGCATAAGCATCAAAAATTTGCGTGAAATCTCGCACTGTGTTCACCGATACGATTGCTTCCTCGTAAATATCTCTTGCCTGCAGCACGGAAAACATTGGTTCCAGTAATAGAATTATATCTGCTCGAAGAAATACAGGTGCTAAAGAATATTTTTAATTTCGATAAAAAACATTTTTATGAATTTTACAAAAACGAGTAATCTCCATCCAAAAACCAATTCCGTTTTACAAAATACCAAAAAAAATTTTTTTCTGATTATAAAATAAGCTATTTTAATATTATAATTTTATAAAATAAGCTTAACGATCAAGAAAAAATAAAAGGAACCTTTTCGAAATGCCCGCTTCTGATATAGTATTCGGCCAATGAGCACCAAAGAATTCCAACTTGATCACTGTATCTGAATATATTTAATGAACATTTTGTGCTATACACAGCAAAATTTTCTTTTTACATCAATGAATAAAGTAATAGAAAAATATTTTAATGTTGGAGGAAGATAAAGCAAATAATATTAAGAAATTAGTAAAAGTAAAATCTTGTAAGAGGAAAATTTTAAAAAAATCTTATATTTTATATTATTGCGGTAAGAAATGTAAGAAATTTTAAGAAATTTCATCGTTTTTCTGGGGTGGCACAGCTTAATAAGAGGCGATAGTTCCCAGGATGCGCCAAACACTGTAGCCCTGCCAAGTGCTTCTGACAAGAGAATCGTTGTGTTGGTTCAGAAACAAAACGAATGTCAGGATTGCCAATAGGCTGACTACTACGCGAAGTAACATTGGCCTAGCAGCAAGGAAAAATCACAGAGGAGCTAAGAATTAATAGCAGTTCTTCCTGTCGCCCACAGACGAATTACTGTGCAGTCGATGACATGATTTACAATTTTGTTTTCCAAAAAACACATTGTTCGAGGTGCTGCTTTGCCGGGAAAGGGGAGGGAGCAAGGGGGTTCAAGGCATTGTACGTTTATCTTTGGTTGTTGGGCATTGGGATGCAGCGTGGAGCAGACAACGCTCCCAATCAACGGTTTTTTTTTCTTCACAGTTTTAAATGCTTCAAGAAAGTATTCCAGTGATATCCATGTTGACAGTATGAATGAAGCAATGAGGGATATCAATTAATTACAAAAAAGTTCAAAACGTCAGATCTTAGGACGTGATGAGGAACATCAAAAGTGGCACAGAGAATACAAGCAGACTTGAGTGAACTCAAAATGATCTTAGGAATCAGTAAAAAAAAAGAAAAAAAAATTAAACCTTCGTATTCCCTGACGTATTATTGAATCAACGTTTAATGAATGGACTTTAATTGGATTTTTTGATATCAATTCACACAGCTCTGTCCATAACTGAAGTAAAATATTGCATTTAGGATGGAGCAGAAAGCAAAAAAAAAAAGAATATTAAAAAAAACAAAACAAAATTAATAGAAAATCAAAAAAAAAAAAAATGAAAAAGTAACAAAAATGTAGAAGAAAAATACCTGATGAGTAGTTTTACCATGTTCTGAGTAAGGTTTATCATCATTTACGAGGATAGCAAGTTGCTGTGCTGCATCATCAAGATGATCAATTTTACGGAGATAATCAACAAAGTCCTCACGATGCTTTGGCAGTAGTTTGAGGTACCTAAATTGAACGCTGTAGATGATGAGGTTAACGGTCGGTGAGGCCCAGGTGAGATTGTGATGGTGTATTAATAACTTCAACGTCCGTCTACGGAACAAAAACACATAACATTTTCCTTTCTTCACAATTCCCCTTTCCTTTGTCTTAAAACATTTTCATAATACAAAATACACATTTTTAGTGGAAAACCCACCAAAAAAAGCTGCCAAAGAAAAAGCTACTACAAAAAAAAGATGTACGCTGCACCCCTCCCCTTCCCCAAATTTTGAGAAGCAGCCAAGAAAAAGGAAGTTGAGTTTTCCCTTCCCTCGCCTCCAGGCATTTTCATTATAAAAAATATACATTTGTCGCAGAAAAACTACAAAAAAGCCGACAAGAAAGGAACTGTCACAAAGAAAAACATGTATTCCTCCTATAAGGGAGCGCCAAAA